ACGAGCATATATATATATATATATATATATATATATTTTTGAGACGGACTCTCGCTCTGTCACCAGGCTGGAGTGCAATGGCACAATCTCGGCTCACTGTAACCTCCGCCCCCTGGGTTTAAGTGATTCTCCTGCCTCAGTCTTCCGAGCAGCTTCCACTACCAGCGCGCACCACCACGCCCGCTAATTTTTGTACTTTTAGTAGAGACGGGGTTTCCCCCTGTTGGCCAGGATGGTCTTGATCTCTAGACCTCGTGATCCGCCCGCCTCGGCCTCCTAAAGTGCTGGGATTACAGGCGTGAGCCACCGTGCCCGGCCCTAACGAGCATATATTAATGTTGTAATTATATGTGTGTGTGTATGTGTGCGTGGTTTTGTTTTCTATATAAAGTCAAAAGGGAGTGTATGTGTGTGTGTGGTTTTGTTTGTTTTCTAAATATATAAAGTCAGAAATAAACCCAGGTAACCCAGCCGCCTGGGAAAGGTGGTATCTGGCCCGCCCCATTCCAGCCTGAACTCCGCCCACCGCGATCCGGAAGCCCTGCGCTCAGCGGGTTGCTGGAAAAACTCGGAGCTGAACACCCGGCCGGACACTGGCCGCTGAGCTCGGGAGCCTGCGCAGTAGGCGTCGGAGGCGCATGCTCTGTAGCGGTCTCTGCAGCCAGCATTGGCGCCCGCGCGGGCCTTTCAGCCCCGCCCGCAGAGCCGCTCCCGCAAAGCCCCACCCGGGTGCGCGGGCATGGCGGCCAGCCTGTGGATGGGCGACGTGAGTGAGGGTAGTAGTCCCGGGTCTGAGGACGAGGAAGCATCTCGGTTTCGCGAGGGAGGAAGTGTCTGAGGAGGAGGGGACTTGGGATCCCAAAAAGGGGAGACGTGTGACCGGGTTCTTTTTGGTGACACAGAAGCGGATTCCAGCATCTAAGTGAAAAAGCTGAGTCCGTGAGGCTAGGGGTCCTGGGGCCCCACGTGGGTTCGTGGGAGGGAAAGGTGGTGCTTTGGGGACATAGAATGGGAGGAATCCAAGGACTGAGGCGCGCTGTTTTAGGACCGGAGGAGTGGGGTTTCTAGGTCCAAGGGGAGACTCCCTAAAGGGGGGCAAGCTTGAACCAAAGGAGCTGGGGTTTCGGGCCGCTCAGCGGAGGCGAACCTCGCCGCTCGCTCCCCCAGCGGCGCGTAGCCAGCCCTGGGCTGACGGAGAGGGGCTCTGGAACCCGGAGTGGGAAGCCCGGCTGCCAGCCTGAGCCGCTGCGCTCTTGTTTTTACGCAGCTGGAACCCTACATGGATGAGAACTTCATCTCCAGAGCTTTTGCCACCATGGGGGAGACGGTAATGAGCGTCAAAATTATCCGAAACCGCCTCACTGGGTAAGTCTCATCTCAGGTCTCCCTTAATACATCTCGTTGCAGCTGTCATGTACGAGAATGTAAACATCGTAGTCATGGCTTCTCACTACCCCTAGTGATAGTCACTGTAAAATTATAACGGCTAACATTTTGAGGTCCTAATGAGTGGAAGAATAGCATGTAGCTTAAGGGCAGGACTTGCCAGGCGTGGTGGGTCACACCGTAATCCCAGCACTTTGGGAGGCCGAGGTCAGGAGTTTGAGACCAGCCTGGCCAACATGGTGAAACCCCGTCTCAGGAGTGGATACTTTGGCAAGATGGCGGGGAGCGGCATCCGTCAAGCTGCCTCTACCGCCAGCACCTTTGTGAAGCCCATTTTCAGTCGGGACATGAACGAGGCCAAGCGGAGGGTGCGCGAGCTCTACCGCGCCTGGTGTCGGGAGGTGCCGAACACTGTACACCAATTCCAGCTGGACATCACTGTCAAAATGGGACGGGATAAAGTCCGAGAAATGTTTATGAAGACCCCAGGGTGGTTGATCTTCTGGTCATTAAGGGAAAGATGGAACTGGAAGAAACAATTAAAGTATGGAAGCAGCGGACACATGTTATGCGGTTCTTCCATGAAACAGAAGCGCCAAGGCCGAAGGATTTCCTATCCAAGTTCTATGTTGGCCATGACCCATGAAGTCACTCAGTGGAAAGGTGCATGTTGATATTATTTTAGAGCACAAATAAACTCACTATACGATGGTCAAAAAAAAAAAAAGAAACCCCGTCTCTACTAAAAATACAAAAATTACCTGGGTATGTTGGCAGGCACCTGTAATCCCAGCTACTGGGGAGGCTGAGGCATGAGAATCGCTTGAACAACGGAGGCGGAGGTTGCAGTGAGCCGAGATTGTGCCACTGTACTCCAGCCTGGGCAAGAAGAGGAAAACTCTGTCTCAAAAAAAAACCAAAAAACAAAAGGCAGGACTCAAGCGAGACTGGGTTTTAAAACTATTTCTACTGTATGATCTTGGGTAAGTTACTTAACTGCTCTGTCTCATTCGCTTTGAGTATAAAAATGGAAATAATAATAGCACGTATCTCCTAGAGTTATGGTGAGGATTAAATGAGTTAATTCACATTCATCATTAGGACAGTGTCTGGCATATAGCATATGCTCAGTAAGTATAGTCAGATTACTATCTGCTAAGTAATAAGCACTTTACATTTATTATTTTCTTAAAACCTCAGACACTTCTGAGGTAAGTAAGTACTATTATGAAGAGGCTTAATTAAAAGTTACAATAAAGCCTGGCGCGGTGGCTTACACCTGTAATCCCAGCACTTTGGGAAGCCGAGGCAGGCAGATCACGAGGTCAGGAGATGGAGACCATCTTGGCTAACAAGGTGAAACCCCGTCTCTCTACTAAAAATACAAAAAGCCGCCGGGCGCGGTGGCTCACTCTGTCGCCTAGGCTGGGAGTGCAGTGGCCCGATCTCGGCTTCACTTGCAGCTCCCGTCTCCCCGGGTTACACCATTCTCCCTGCCCCTCAGCCCTCCGAGTAGCTGGGAACCTCTACAGCCGCGCACCACCACCGCCCGGCATTAATTTTTTGTATTTTTTAGTAAAAGCCGGGGGTTTCAAACCCGTGTAGCCAGGAAAATGGGTCTCGATCTCCTGACCCCTTGTGATCCGCCCCCGCCTCCAGCCTCCCAAAGTGGCTGGGATTACGGGCCGTGGAGCCGAAC